TCATAAGAACTATGTTCTCAATGTTCTTTATATCGACAAATTTGTATTTACGTAGACACCAACTTTCCTTTAGATTGTTTTGTCTAAAGAGCAACCAATCTCCATTTCACTTTTTAGGACACACACGTTGTATCGTGTCGAACATGAAACTTCGAAAAATCATAACTTGTTCATACGAAGTTAAATTTTGGCGTTCTTTATACTCACGACTTCGTAATTACGATTACTACGACTTTCTTTTAGATTATTTATTCAAAATAATCTTCTATCAATAATATTATTTTATTTTTCAATGATAAATTTATATGATTTTCTACAAATATTATATACTCATAATATTTGTCCACATAACGTGTATACATTTAAATAAATATTTATATAGTCTGTAACGTGTACGACAAATTCTTATTTATTTATTAGAAATTATCCTATTTGAATAATTTAGATTTATTCAATAAAATGAATAATATCTTAAATGTCTGGCATGAATTCGCGGGCGTTACAGTTACCTCCCACATAAGATGATTACGTCTCGAAATCATACAACAAGAAAACAACTCTGGATGGTGATTCTTTAAATCGCATCTCGGTACCTAAGTAAGGATTAGCCTCAATATTGTGCTCACACGGTACTAAATCAAATGTCCTCATTATTTTATACTCGAAACAACATTTTAGGTTCTTTTTTGACAGCTTATCAGCCTACCGACCTAACTCTATAGTTGAAACATCAACTCTGTTGATTAAAGTTTCACTATAAATAAGCGTCTTTATTAAGCTGAATTCCCCACACAACCATTTCTCTTATCCTAATAAGGATTTAAATGACAAAGTTCACAAGCTCTACTGTTTCGAGCTCCTCTCGGGTCTCGAATTTGTCGAGCTACAACTGTTTTCACATTATCACTAACATAAGTATTTTCAAGAAATTTAGAGGATTATCTTAAATCGAAATTTTTAACTTATTCATGATAACGAATCTATGAAAACATTCTCTATAGACAAATTTTTCTACATATGTGATACCTAGAACGATATACTTCTATTACTTAGTCAATCATGACCCATAACACATCGTGGTTCTACACCATCCTGAGACACTTGATGATAAGATCTAAGATAAGATCTTCATATTCACATATAGGCACAGGTAATGGTCTCAAGTTCCCTCACGATATTTGATGTCGTTTTCGCACTTTCCAACCAAAACACCCATTTTATCATTTACATAATAACAACCGAAGCTAAAAACTTCTCTTGGATTCTTGTGTTACAAATCTTTTGTACCTAGACGTCGAATCTGAAGTTGAGCTGTCTTTCACATTTTTACATTAATGGTTGGTTCTCCCCCACTTAGGTTCGAACCCTCACCTGCTGCTACTCACAACCGATCAATGCATAAGTTGGCTCTACTTATGTGATTTGTAGCTCATTTTCTTCTTGGAAGAAACTCCTCATTGTCATATCAATGACTTTAAAATCCTCACGTAGCATCATTCTTGTGCCCACAGTGAGTGATCTTCTCATATAACACAATCACAGACCGATCCAAATCCCAAGCACGAAGTCGTCCACCAACGTATGCGTATACAAAATGGTATAGGAGGGCATTACTAACATAATGAAAATACTAGCAACAATGACGGTTGTTGAACTCAATATTATACTTTCCTTTTCTTTGGGACGATCGACCTTTTCGCGCTTCAACTGATTCTCTTGTAATGATCACTTCGGTCATATCTGAAGCACTTGGGTGAAAACGCGCAAAAGACACTTGAATGAATCTTTATATGCTTGATAATAGATACAACGTTTGTTGCACTCTTAGCCTCCTTAACGATAATCGATAGGTTTGAACCTATTTACTGATAGTGGTGCTTAAACCTGCACTTGTTCTTTCATCCACTGATGGACCTTCAGTCCTAATTCCGGAGTTACAAACTCGTTATTTTTTTATCGGAGACTCCGGCTCCTTCCTAAACTAGGTCGTAAACTCAACCCAAGATAAGGTGTTTACTTCGTCTATAGCAACAGACCAAATGGTCACACTCTAATGACCTTCCATTGCACAACGCAATAGTTACATAACGAACTAAACTCTTGTCTCTATGGGTCACACACTAACACGGAAAACACCTTCTATTTTGTGTTAACAAGTCGATCCTTCCTCTTTAAACATGGGAGTACGACCTACAACCAGATCACAGCAGACAACAGCTCTAGCTACTGGTTGATCACCCTTAACGAAGGCTGTAATCCTTCTATCGATCACTTCGATCACCTCTTTCTTAATTCTCCCGACTAAAATCGGTTACTACATCGAACAAGGCTCTCAGAACCAATCAACTCATTAACACATATCTATATTACTCGGACTCGATTATTCATGGCCACTAGGGCCTGAACCAAAACCACTCTCTTAGTCACCACCATACCGCAGGTAATGACGGAAACAAACAAAACGGATTTGTAGTGTTAACCACATTATCTACTCAACTACTAGTGTCTTAGTAACCTTGTGACTCTTCCTGATCCAAGTATGAATCTTGTGCTTCAAATAGTACAGGTATATACTACCTTTCATACTTATTCATACTCGTCCCAAGAATTGTCCTGCAGTTTCCAAGTGACTACACATGAAAACCACAAAGCAATTCAATATATATTTATGTGTCCAAACGAGCACATACAACAAATCTTCCTAGACTCCACTAGGATTTTCGCATCTTTATAAGGCGCCTTAACAATAACTATGTGCTTTACCAAGCACATTCTAAATTTTCTAGACTCCTCTTCTGGGAATCTTCTCGCGCGTATGTTTGATCTAGCATATTCTAACACCTTTCCTAGGTCACTAGAAATTTCACTTCCAAGTTCTTCATATTCCTTCCTGTATAATGCCCAGTCTATATGGCACACTACATCTGAATTTCTCTGGTGGTATGGAGACAAATACCCTTTAACTATTTGTACCACATGTTAACATATGCAAGTCACCATGCATATCATCGTATCTCTTCACTTCATCATCATTTACTTTATAGGAGTCAATCCTAGACATTCAGCCTCTCAACCACATCTCTTTTCACATTTACTTCATATGAGTCAATCCTAGGAAGTCTGCATTTCAGTTACATCTCAGCATGTTCCACTACCTTCGACTTGGTTCTTTGTCATCCCTGACATCAGCAACCTACTTCATGCAACAAGGTAGATGTATTGCTACTCTAACTAAGTACTCTAACTAACTAACCAAGTTAGTTACTTCGTACTTCACAACCCAATGACTATTTTCACCATCTGATTCCCATATGTTAAATTCGGCTTAACATATTAAGGAATTCACGTACGGATGTGATAAAAGTCAGACCAATACCCTAGAAACCCTAGGAATGAATTAGGAGAGAGGAATAAGAGAGGAAAATTTGAAATTATTGCTTGTCAAAGGCGCGGTTTCGAATTTCTCATGCAAAGGCCCCTATTTATAGTTGGTGAATATCTAGGGTTTACCATGATTTGAATAATTAAATAATATTTAATCTATTTAAGGCAGCTACCATATTAGTTACTAAGAGGCTTCCAGAAACCTTGGAAACACTCCCAAAACCGTTCAACCCTATTAAGGGTTCTAGAATTATCTGCATTGCTTAATTATGAACAATTATAATTCAACCCTTGCATCTTTAATTAATTTCAATTAATCCCGAGTTAATTCCAGATTAATTATGATTAATAATTAATTAATTTCAATTATTTCTAATTAATTTATTAATCATATAATAAATTAACAAATCATTTTATCTTTCTTTTAGTATCATTTCCAACTATTTCTAGTTATTGAGGGTAATCAAAAAGAACTTTGTTTTTATTCACTCAAACCTTTTTAAGGGTTTGCAGTGTGTATGGACTTTGTAAGTTTTTATTCACTCAAACCTTTTTAAGGGTTTGTAGTGTGTATGGACTTTGCAAGTTTCTATGCACACAAACAATGTTTTAACTCCTGCAATGTTCACTAGGCTTCTGAAGTATAACCTACCGATTTTAACATGTGTTCATATTATGAAGTTTAGATTTGGACATTTAACAGACATCTAGTTGATGTTAAAATAGTCACTCTTTAACTATTGTCGTTTGATATTTTGTTACCCCCACATATATCTCGACACTTGTTTCTTATAGATGTCATATTTGAAACCTTGTCTGCAATTTGTTTATCCAAAAATGATCATTGTTCTACAAAATGCCTTGGAACTATTATTTTAAATGACCATTACAAATTGTCTGTCCGAGGGTGTTTCACATTAGTTAGGTGGCATTACGCAGCTATCATTCGCTTCCTCGACTATAACTACTCAAGAGATCAAAAACTGGAAATCGAAGGACATCTTCATCATCAACATATTTTATGGACAAAAGAACAAAACATATCGACATAAAATATGTAAATATATTAGCTTTATTAATAAGACATTTTAGTTATTTGGTGTATATCTTTTATTTCTAGCATATGTTTGTAGATAGGTTCGATATGTAACTGATTGTTGTATATGTATGTGTCTTAATGGATTGTTGTATATGTGTGTGTCTTAATGGAATGAGACGTATCAATGAGTTTAACCGACTTTTTTGGTATCAAAGTCCAACACGTCTCTACCTTCTCCCTCTAGCTTCCGCAATGCATCGTTTATAGATTTTATGGAGAACGGAACACTAAGGGTGCGTTTAGTTGCGGAAAAATTGACCGTTTTCTGGAAAAAATTTCCAAGAAAAATAAGAATTTTGAAAACGCGTTTAGTTCGTTGATTTTCTAAATGTTCCAATGAAAAATGAAAACCGAAAACGAAAACTGAAAAGGGAAAACGAAAAAAGAAAACTGTTTTTCCGTAACTAAATGCAACCTAAAATACTCAGTTTATAGATTATAAACAAACGAAAGTAAATAAGATTAATCAGGTCTGTCTAATCTGATTATCACATTCTTTGTGAAATTGCAACATAAGCTAAAAACAGAAGTAAATAATAGTAAAATAAAAAATACAAAGTGAAACCAAAACAGTTTATAGCCAAAAATATCTGCAAACAGATAGATGTCGCTGTAACTTAATACTATCAAGTAAAAACAAACATGCTTCAATAAGGTAAAAACCAGACAGATGGGGTTTTGCTTGCTTTATGGCTTATGCATGTTGATAATGATTTAACTTGTAAAGCAACACATGACCCGCAGCATTCCCCATAGCCATCATCCCTCCACCCGGACTAAAATCCAAACACCGAGGAAACTGCAACGCCTTATTTGCTGGTGGCCAGTTTGAAAATACAGTAAACGAAGGCACATGCACCAACTTCATACTGTTCTTCTTCATACTCGAACAAATCGCCAAAATCTGCGCATCACTATTAAACTTTATAAAATCAACTTTTGTTGTCAGATTCTCGATCCTTTTCATCGGTTTTCTGTTCCCCCCCAAAAAATCCTCCTTATTGTAAACATTCACAATCCCACTATCGGACCCCGCTGCAAATATGTTCCCGTTTGGTGACATGCCAAGAGCTGTACCCGTTAAGCACCCTTCATCAACACCTTTATGGAAACAACTCATGCTTCTCATATCAAAATGGTAGATCTGCCCGTCCCCGCCCGTGGCTACCAACTCCTGCCCGTGATTCCCGAAAGTTAAAGCCCGGGCAGTTCCGTTCATTTTTAGAGTTCCTATTAATTCTTTTGCTTTGGATGACACCAATAGAATATACCCTTCGTTACCAATAAACGCGATTGTTTTCGAATCCGGGGAGATTTCAAATGTTTCTAAGCTTTTTTCCTCACGCCCCACTAACGGACCGATTTTATCCATCGTTGCTTTGACCAAGTCAAAGCTGTAAAAAAACTTTCGCCTTCCGGAAAGGATAACCTGTGAGCCATCTGGGGTGAAAGCCGCCTTTCTGATTGGACAATCATCAACAAAAATGGATTGAATTTTCGTGTTTCGTTTTCCATCGATCTGAAAAAACCGCAGCTTTTTGTCTAGTCCACCAGTTAGAAGTAACTGACCGTTTCTATGGAACTGAACCGAATTAATCGGACCGCTGGACGGGTCCTGTGCGTTTGCATCGACTAATCTTGAATACTCGAGTAACCCGGGCAGCAGCTTTGAGCTGCCCGAAACAACGAGATCTTCAGTGGTTTGAAGGATACCATCAAAATCTCCATTTTCTTGATCGCTGTCATCGGAGTTGTAAATCCGTTCGCGTGAATCGGGCCGGGCCCAGTCTGTGCTCGGGTTGAGCTTCATGTGGTGGGCCCGCAATCTTGAAACATACTCGGATCCCGATATTAGTTTCTCGTCTTCGTCTTTCCGGATCTTTCTTAAACGGTTGACTTTTGAAATGTTTATGTTGGTTTTTTCTTCCTCTTCGTCTACCCAAACGGGTTTTCGTGGGGCGTGATCCTCTGTTGCAACAATTTCTATTTCTCCTGTTTTTGCATCCTCTTCATATACAGACAACACACTGTTGGCAGAGCGATCAGTGAAGAACAAAGCAGTTTCTCCTTCTTCTTCTTCTTCTTCTTCTTCAATGTTCTTCCCAAATTCCACTGGATACAAAGACCCAAACAAGACGTTTTCGAGTTTCTTCATCTCAATTGCTTGCTCGGTTTCAGCTTGTTTGTCCTCTTTTCGTTCTTTCTTTTTCTTCTTAGGCTTCACTGTGGTCATGTTTTCTGAATTTTTTGTTTCTTGTAACACGTCTAATGTTAAAGGCTCATCAAGATCAGGATTCTTTCTTTTGATCTTCTCACCTCTGTCTTTAGAAACCGCATTTTGAGAAATCAAAGTAGCCATTGTTGAGACAGCTGTCACTGCAAAATTAAGCAGAGCATGTGTAAACGACAGAAACAAACACATCTGCATGATCGTTAAGATAAAATTCCAAAAGCAAATCATGGTAAAAACACTGAGGTACAAGGTTTAAAGGTAATAATCTTTGTATATAAGATTATATTGTTTGTGTGAAATTTAAGTTGTAAAAAGAGGGAGCAGAAGGCTCGTACGTATTGTTGAAAGCATGACAAACAACCGTTTTCCAACATCTATCCTAAGGATTCCACGACAAAATTTAACTTTTAAGAAACTAATCCACCAAGTTTAAAGAAAGGCAAGAATGTTTTGATCTTTTGCTTCTCGGTTTTATTAAATAGCGAGTGGAGAATGTGATCAGATTCTTGATAAGAACTACAAAACAGCTTAACTTTCAATTTTGAAATAGATGTACAATAACCACTAACCAGATATGGATTATACAGAATGACAGTTGCTCCAGTATTTTAAATCAAACAAATACAATTGACATATAGCAACGTAGAAAAAAGACCGAGTTCTACATGGTTGGAGCTGTATATGTTAAGCCTTAATACTCATATTCGTTAGCATAGAAAGACTAGACAGTTAGAGGGACCTGTCACCTGAGTAGCAGTAGACTAAATGTGGTCATGGATATTCCTGCAAGCACTGTTTAAGGCACAATCTCCATAGAGTTCATAGGTTTCAGTTGTAACATCAGAACATCGAAGGCTATTGCCAGTAGTACAAAATACAGGTAGAGCATCCGCAGCTTTTCATAACATAGAGGAATTTTCCATTCAAGCTAACACGCTTCGTTCTAGGTTACAATTGTTAGTGGAATTTACGCAAGAACATGATGTCCTAATTGAAACATAAAACTGAAAAACGCACTTAAAACAAACAAAAATTCAATCATTTATTAATGAACAAACAAGTGAATGTGATTGTTGTTTATAATTGATAAATTGAACGCGAAATGTGAAACTAACTTTAAAGGATGTGTTTTGACAGTTACCTACCAGACAACGGAGAGACCTGAAGCAGCGAGGAGAGATGACGAACCGACGGAGAAGACACCGAAAAGGACGACGTGTGGAGACGAGTGATGGACTGATGGTGCGGCTGTAAGTCGGCGGGAAAAAAAGTCGGCCCTGGAGAATAGACGAGAACGGCAGGGTTTTCTTTTGCCGACAGAGGGCTTAGAGTTTCACTTCTTTTTAATTTATTTTTTCTTATTTTATCAATCAAGTTGTTTAGGAGTAAATTACAAGAACGGTCCTTCGGTTTCATAAACTTTTGTTACTTAGCACTCTCGGTTTTATAGTTTTGGTCTAATTTTAGGTTTTCAAAAGACAACATTGCAAAAGTAGTTATTTTCCTTTGTCGTACTTTTTGTACAGTCGTTTTTTTTTTCTTTCCAAAACTGAAGATATGGTCTACTCGTGGATTTCGGGCATATTTGGCACCTAGTTTTCGGAAGCTTGCTTTTAAAAAAATAAAAACTTGAAAAAAAAAAAAAATTCGTTCGACAGCAGCTACCTTTTGGATTAAACAAAAAACTTCAAATCCAAAAGCTATTTCAACGATTGTTTAACAAATGGCTAATGTCATAAAAACCCTTAAGTTTTCAGGGTTTTGTCGGTTTTGCCTAAAGTTGAATTTTATGTCCGTTTTATCCTAACATTTTCCAAAAATGTTCGGTTTTACCCTTTTACCGATGATAATAGGTTACCATTATATTAACTTCGCAAAAAAACCCTTAAGTTTACAGTTTTTTTTTTACGTTTTTACCCTTAAGTTTATAATTTTTTAACACTTTTATCCTATGTATTTTTTTTTCATATTAAACGTATTCAAGCAGAAAAAGTATATTTATAAATGAAAAAAATTTAGTTAAATATTGTATTTATATTTTTTAATGTTAATTCTATATATATATATATATATATATATATATATATATATATATATGTGTGTGTGTGTGTGTGTATGCGCGTGTGTGTGTATGGGTTTTTTTTGGATAAACCATTTAAGATGTAAAAAAACAAATTAATATGTTTTTAGAACTACAAATAAGTATTTTTATATATTTAAAAATATACGTATCAATAAAAAAACTTGTTCATTCATAAACATGTTTATATAAGTATATACATATATTTTTAGAAGTGTAAATATGTATTTTGATATATGTTTTTTTTTAAGTATAAATATATTTTTAGAACTATAGATACATATTAATATATAAAAATGTAAAAATATGTATTTATAATTCTAAAAACTATATCTATAAAACACATATTCATAATTGTAAAAATATTATTTATCTTTTTATATGGTATAACCATGCAAAAATAGAAACACACACAAACAAACAAATATATATATATATATATATATATATATATATATATATATATATATAACTTCAAAAAAAATATAAATACAATATTTAATTAAATATTTTTTCGTATATAAATACGATTTTTCTGCATGAATATGTATATTATGAAAAAAACATACTTAGGATAAAAGTGTAAAAAAAATTATAAGCTTAAGGGTAAAAACGCAAAAAAAATGGTAAACTTAAGGGTTTTTTTTGCGAATTTAATATAATGGTAACCTGGAAAACCTGTTATCACCGGTAAAAGGGTAAAACCGAACATTTTTTCGAAAATGTTTGGGTAAAAACAGACATAAATTTCAACTTTGGGCAAAACCGACAAAACCCTGAAAACTTGAGGGTTTTTATGACATTAACCCTTTAACAAAAAGCAATTTTATTTTTTCACAAATCGACTAAAATACTCATTAAACTAAATCAATCATGTCTTTAAAATAAATAAATCAAATCCATACTTTTAGTAATTAACTTATACGATTAAATGTACATATATTTTAAAAATTATAATGTCTTTATTGGAAACATGGTAAGTATATGTGTAACAACGTAAATTTCAAAAACAATTTTTCATTTTTAAACCACACTTTTAATCATCAAAAACAATATTAAAACATAATGTATTCAATGTCATTATAACAAAACAATTCCCAGAATCTCAAAACGTAAACTCTAGGATTGTGTACGAATCATGTCGGTGCCTTCCCGCGATCCTCACTGGTACCTGAAACACATAACACAACAACTGTAAGCATAACAGCTTAGTGAGTTTCCCAAAATACCACATACAACACATACGCCTTTCCAGGCCATAACTCTGTGGGACCTTCCGGTCCAAGTGTCTCAGGGGACTTCTGTCCCAAATCCCGGTAGACCTTCTGGTCCTACTCGTATCGACATTCCGGTCCGTAACCTCTTGACCTTCCGGTCCATATCATCTTGACCTTCTGGTCCTTATCATACATAACATACATAACACATACATATCACATAACAGCATACAACACATACATCTCATAGCATATAAGACCTTCCGGTCACATATAGGTACCCTTCCAAGTATAGTATAGTGAGAAGACTTACCTCGAATGAAGTCGGATAAACTTTCGTGCTCAATGTCCCGACCTAGCCTCCTCCTATCATTCAAATAACATTCCCGATCAATACTATCTCATAGTCTCATCCCTAAGGATTGGGTAGAAGACCATTCCACCCCTCCCTGAATTCCCTTGAATCAGTCTTGACCAAAACCCTAAGGTCAACGGAAGTCAACGGTCAAACTTTGACCCGACTCGTCGAGTACACATGGGCGACTCGGCGAGTCCATGCGGGTCCTCTGAATCCTTCTAGCCTCATTTGGCATGTCGAGTCATCCCCTTCACTCGACGAGTTACGCCTGTCATGAATCGCGGGGCAACCCCGACTCGACTCGTCGAGTCCACTTAAGAACTCGGCGAGTTGCTTCCATGATCATACTCAAATGACCTTCTGAGGTCAGATCGGCTTCTCTAACCTATAGATCTGACATTCCCAAGCATGATAATCATGTAAAGGTCGAATCTTGGTATACATGCAACACACCCAAGGCTTCTTTTGGTGAAATAACCTCTAAAATGGCCTCCTAGGCTCATAACTCAAAAGGTATAGCATAAAACAGAGTGGTAAGGACTCTCTGGTCCTCTTAAGGTCCAGATCTATGAACCATTTCGCCTTGGGACCTCACATACTCCAAATTCAAACTAACAGAGGCATAAAGAAACCCTAGATTTCACTAGAATCATTATAAACACGAGAATGGCACAGATTGTTACCTCTAACAGCTTCCTCTGATCAAATAGAAGTGGATCCAAGCTCCTCAACCCGCTTAGCTTGTCCTACCTCATTCTTTCTTGCTAAAACACACAAGAAATGGTGAACAATAAGGCTCTTCTCTCACTCTCAAGGCTCACAGATGCTCTGGTGCTCTCTAGGACGAAGGTAGCCGCAACTAAGGGCCATAAGGTCCTTTAAATAGGGTACAAGCCCGGGGATTTAGGGTTTCAGCTTACAGCGCGGACTCGTCGAGTCCATCCTTTCCGACTCGTCAAGTCCGTTCATTAATCCAGTCAGCAAACACGATCCTACTCGATGAGTCTAAGCGTCAACTCGTCGAGTCCATCTCTTAAGCCCAAAATAAATGAATAATATAAAATACCTGGAAATCCGGATGTTACAATTCTCCCCCACTAGAATCAGACTTCGCCCTCGAAGTCTTGCCCTACAAACAACTTTGGATGCTGCTCCCGCATCTCCAACTCCGGCTCCCAAGTCAGCTCGAACCCTCTCTGATGTTGCCACTGGACCTGAACCAGAGGCACCTCCTTGTTCCTCAGAACCTTGATCTTCTGATCCAGGATCGTGATCGGTTTCTCAACATAATTCAGGCTCGCATCCACCTGAATATCCTCCAGCGGCACAACCGTCGACTCATCGGCTATACACTTCCTCAACTGAGACATGTGGAAGGTATTATGAATCTGGCTCAACTCCGCAGGTAGCTCCAATCGATACGCTACCCTGCCCACCCTCGCGGTCACCCTGAACGGCCCAATGTACCGGGGCCCCATCTTGCCCCTCTTTCTGAATCGAATCAATTCCTTCCAAGGAGACACCTTCAGGAGTACGAAGTCTCCTACCTGGAACTCAAGCTCGGGTCGCCGCCTATCCGCATAACTCTTCTGGCGACTCTGAGATGTCAACAACCTCTGTCTAACCTGCTGTATCTGCTCGGTCGTCTGAAGCACTATCTCAATGCTGCCCATCACGCGCTGCCCCACCTCTCCCCAGCAAATGAGAGTCCGACACCTCCTCCCATACAACAACTCGAAGGGAGGCATACCAATACTCGAGTGGTGGCTGTTGTTATAGGAAAACTCAGCCAACGACAAATACGTGTCCCAACTTCCTCCGAAGTCCAATACACATGCCCGAAGCATGTCCTCGAGCGTCTGAATCATCCGCTCACTCTGTCCATTCGTCTGAGGGTGGTAAGCGGTACTGAAATGCAGCCTTGTGCCCAACTCCTCGTGAAACTTCTTCCAGAACCTGGAAGTGAAATGTACATCCCGATTTGACACAATCGAGATCGGTACTCCATGTCGCGATACCACCTCCCTCACATACAGCTCTGCCAGTCTCTCCGCAGAAGAGCTCTCACTAATGGCAAGAAAGTGAGCGCTCTTCGGCAGCCGGTCGACAATCACCCAAATTGCATCGACACCCCTCGCGGTCCTCGGCAATTTGGTGATAAAATCCATGGAGATCTGTTCCCACTTCCACTGGGGAACCTCAAGTGGCTGCAACTTGCCGTGCGGACGCTGGTGCTCATCCTTAACCCTGCGACAGGTCAAGCACCTCTCGACAAACCATGCAACATCCCTCTTCATACAGGGACACCAATAATCTCTCTTCAGATCCAAATACATCTTAGTGGCCCCCGGATGGATCGAGAACCTCGATCTGTGCGCCTCCTCCATCAAGGTGGTACGTACCTCGCCTGCATATGGCACCCAAATCCGACCCTGAAAGGTCTAATCGGTATATTTTACATCACGCTTAATATACTATAATTTATGTAAAATAACCGATTTTATCTAAGAATGGTGCTACTTTGACATGTATTTGAATTATGTTTGTAGGTGGTAAATATGATGAAAATGGTACAAAAAGATGCAAAAAGAAGTTCAAGGAATTACACGAAGAGAAATCAAGATTGAAAACAAAAGAATTGAAGATGTTCGGGTTTGGAAAGACGAGAAAACAAAATAAAAAAATAAAAAATTGTATTTTTAAATTAATTATAATTTAATTAAAATGATTCATTTAGGAAATAATAATTTTATTATTTTCT